ATTGTTATTTCTTTTTTTTTTTTGGTGATAATAATAATTTTTCTTTTTTTCTTTTTTTTTTCTTTTTAACATGTGTTTTTAAAACTTTGGGTTACAAATTTTCCCCCTTTCTCCCTCCCCACCCACCCTCATTGAAAAGGCAAGCAACTCGATATAGGTTATAGACATGTAGTCATGCAAAACACTTCCACAGGAGTCCTGTTGTGAAAAACTAAGTATATTTCCCTTCATCCTATTCTACCCCCCATTTATTCTATTCTCTCTTTTGACCTTGTCCCTCCTCAGAAGTGTTTGCTTTTGATTATCCCCTCCTCCAATCTGCCCTCCCCTCTATCAACCCCCTGCTTATTATTTCTAAGATAAGGAAACTGAGGCAGATTTAAACTCAGGTATTCCTGACTCCAAAGCCAATATTCTATCCACATACCACCAGAGCAATTATGCTTTTGGACAGTTCTAATAATTAGTAAGTTTTTCTTTAATGGATCTGAAATCTCCATCTCCATATCTTTCAATCATCAGTTACACTGTCCTCTGAGTGGCATGCAGAACAAACATAATCCTTCTTCCATATGACATAAAAATATTTTAATTTATCAACCACGTTTATCTAGACTAAATAAATAACCCCAGCTCCTTCAACTATTTGTCATGTGATAAAGCCTCCAGACATTTCACCACCTTGGCCACCTTTTCCAGAGGTATTTCAATTTAATATAGTTATATTAAAACATACAAATACAACTTAAAATATCTTCTTGGAAAAAAATCTTTTCGGAAACAATCACACTATACTCTGAACATACGAAAATTTAACACAATAAAAATATAATCTACTGCTATGGTAATTCGTTATTTCTGGTTGCAATAAGTTATTTGCTAAATGAATGATAACTTCGAGTACTCTACCTCAATAGAAAAATATAGTTTCTAATACTTCAGTATACTGACCTGTGTTTTGAGCTTCAGATGAAATTTCAGTGGGGCTAGGGATGCCAAGGGAAGTCTCTGCTTTCTCAATGACATTTGAAATGCCTTGTCCTAATGAGGGAAAATGACACTTCTATTACGTATATATGTGACCATAGTCACCAAAGCTACATAAATAGCAAAACAAACCCAAATTCTAAATGAACAATCCAGATTTTAAAAATCAACACAACAGGTAGGACATGTTGAGTATATGCTATTCCAGGTTACCTGGCTTACCCCTTGTAAAACTTAATTCATCTTTTGTTTTAGTAGGAAAAAGTGATTTTAGGATACTAGAAATTCCTAATCTCAAATTACTGGTAGAAATTCAGCAATCCCTATTATTACTACATGGAATCTATGCAATATTTGGTTAGCTTACTAGTCAACTACCTAATTTGCCAATGTTTTCTTCTTTTAAAAAATGTTTCATTGAAATTTTTATTTTTATATCATAATCATTTCCTAATATTCTCTGTTTCTTCATATAATGAAACTTTTCCCACAAAGTTAGAGGCACAGAAATTATAAGAATGTTTACATAAAACACAAGCAACAGTTAACAAAATGACTTCAGAACTTACCTACAGTGGCTACAGTAGCTGAAGCAGAAGAAAGCAAAGACTTGCCCCAGTTTCCCCAGTATCCCCATCCTGTTTGGGGTACTTCTTTAGAAACAGGATCCTATTTTTTTTTCAAACAACCAGGAAAGAAAAAAAAAGAGAAAAACAGAAATGTGAATACAAATGCCTTCTTTTTTTTTTACATTATCTTTCAGAGTATATAGATACCAAAGTCCTCTTAATAGCATAACAAGTATAATTATGATGAAAACACTCAATGCACAAATAACACTTTACATATCCAAAGTACTTTATGCATATCCTCATTTGATCAACTAAACAACTCAGTGAGAGAAGTAATAATAATAATAATGATAGCTAATATGTATACAACAGTATATGGTGGGAGTGGGGGGGAACTGTGTTAAGCATCTTACAATTATTATCTCATTTTATCCTCATAACAACCCTGGGAGAGAGATCCTATTATTATCACCATTTTACAGCTGAGCAAACAGAGTGAAACAGATTGACTTGACAGTAATGTAACTTACATTATTTCTCCCACCTTAAAGACGACAACTAAAACTTAGAAATGTATGGTGATTTGCCCAAGTTCACATAGCTTGTAAGTAAAGAAGCTGATAATAAAACCGAGGCCTTGTGGTTCTGATTCTTAATAGTGTGCTTTTAAATACTGCATATCATATTGCCTTTCATAAATGAGTACATAAGGGGAAGCCAGGTCCAGGAGTCCTTTAAAAAGCCAATAACATTTGGGGCAGCTGGGTCGCACCATGGATAGAGCACCAGCCCTGGAGTCAGGAGGACCTGAGTTCAAATCTGACCTCACACACATAACACTGGCTGTGTGACTCTGGACAAGTCACTTAACCTCAATTGCCTCACCAAAAAATAAAATAAAATAAAAAGCAATAATATTAACCATTTAACTTTTGTACATTATGCAAGACTTCTTAGGTGTTAGGAGATGTTAAACAGTGCTTAATAGATGCTTTTTTTAATGATTCTAAGATATGTTCTTATACTCTCTTCTTCAGTGATTTTTAACTTCAAATTATAATTGACACTCTACCTTGCCTACAGACTTCAGTCCTTCATTCGGGAGAAATTCTGAAGTCACAGGCTCACAAGGAGGTTTTATTTCAGGTCTTTTACGAGTAGGGGCAATAGGCTCCAATTCAGATTCTTGCTTGGCACTAGGGTCAGCAGAATGAGGTTGATTGTTTGGCCCACTGTTTCCACTCTCCAAAATGGGAATTTCTTCTACTGTTGCCATATTCTTGACACCATCATTTTCAGACATGATTAGAACCTCTCCTAATACAAATGATACCCCAAGAACAAAAATCAAGATTTTTCATTTAATAATATAACATGACTTTTTTTCTGGGTAAACACTTTAAAAAAACCTTTTTTATAAGTCATTAATAGTTACAGATATACATATACTTTAGTAACTTCTTTTTCTCCATTGTTAAAGAGAGAATAAAAGTTCAAACCCTCCAGGGGAAAGAAAACAACTGTGATTCTGAATTGGTATCTCCATTTTCAGTTGAGGGAAATGAGATGACTGAAGTTTTAATCTATTTTTGGATCAAAATTAGCTCTTGGATCAGGCATGATAATTTTCCTGTCATATTGTTTGATCTGCTGAGCAATCTATCAAACCTCCCTCCCCATGCCCCACCCTGACTCCACTACCACCACCAAAGCAAAGTTTGGGGGCAAGAAATCACAGTAGGTATAGTCTATAAAAGCATAGTTTACTTCCAAGGAATTGACACTCCTACACCAGGCAAGTGAAAAAGCAAAGGCACAAAATTAAATTCTACAGACATAAACATACAAGTCTGTGAACTACAGAATCAGACTCTTCCAGATGGAAGCCACCTCAAAGAAGGGCACTTTGATGTAAAGGCAAAAGCAATTGGCAAGAAGTCAAGAGATCTCAATTTTTTAAGTCTCCACTCTGTCTACCACCTTATTTGATTATATGTCAGTGTCTTATTTTATTCTTTGAGCCTCAATTTCATCTTTAAAGTGAAAGTTGAACTAAATGATCTTTAAGGTTCCATCCAGCTCTAACAATCTATAAGCATGAGTAATGATGAGTATATGTCACATATAACCCCCATCCTGTAGATGTAAATGCCATTTAACCCAGCTGCATCTAATTCAATAATTAGAACTAGCCAAAAAAGAGGTAGTGTCTCATCATTGAAGGTCTATAATGATGAGGAACTCACTGCATATGATAGGCCCCTCCCATTTTGGGGCAGTTCTAATTGTTCATTTTTCCTTATGGTAACCTAAAACGGCTTCCTGGGACTTCTACTCTCAATAGGACCTCTGGAGCTGTGCAAAACAAGAGTAATGCCTCTTCCCTATAATTCTCCAGATACTTAGTGCCTAAAATAAGCATTTGAACCTTCAGTTTTAGCAAAATCGAAGTAGAATCTGGCTTGGGTGACAGGAATTAAGGAGTTACAAGAAAAACAATCAGGGAATCACAGATTCATCACGCCTAAGAGCTGGCTGGGCCCTTACAGATCATCTAAGTTTTACTCTTCGTTTTCAGATAGAGAAACTGAGACTCAGGGAAGTAGGTGACTTGCTAAACCGCACAGCTTAAGTACTAGGTGACCTGCATGCAGGCTTACAAAGCCGGGGGTCGTACAGCTGTAGAAAAAGCCCCGGGTTCTAGTCCCTGCTTTGCCACTAACTCGCTGTGTGACCCTGGGCAGTGGGCACTCCTCATTTATAAAATGTTGGGGGTTGAAATAGATGTTCTCTAAAGAAAGGGGGAGGGATGATGCCAGCTAGGAAAGCCTCAGGCTCTCGCAACGCCTCCATTGCATTTTAAGCGAATGCCCCGAGGCCGATCGGCGTCACAGAGACCCACGCAGCCGCATGCCCCGCCCCCGCACGCACTTACGTAGCCTTGACGTGCACAGCCGGCCTCCAAAGGCCGAGATGCTTGAAGCCTCTCTTCCTCCCCACCCAGAACCCCTGCGGCGGGGATCCCCTATCCACCATCTGCTGCCTCCCACACACCGCATCCCTTCTTTCTTTTACCATTCTCCAGTCCTAGTCTCGCCACCTCAATCCCCCTCCTCAAGGGGGCTCCGCACCATAGAGAGCGGCTGCGGCCGACCAAAGCTATCTCCGGCGCCCCGGAAGTGGACTGTCACCTCGGGGAGTCGGAGGGGAGGGAGCACCTCCGCTCCCAGCCTCACTTCCGTCCGCCCCGACTTTCCTCTCTGGAAAGTGCTTCCGGGGGCACAGCTGCAGAGACGGCCACTGCCGGAAGGAACGCTGGTCTCCTGTCCCGAGGCAGGTCGGTGTTTCTGTTGGGAGGCGGCGAGGGGGGCAGTTAAAGCCGGTGAGGTAACGACCGCGGGAGCGCGCGAGCGGAGCGGCGGGAGAACAGATGCTGAGGCAGGGAGCCGAGGACCTGTCCTTCGTCCCCGAGTCCCCTCTACCGACCTGGTTCTCTTTGGTCTAGCCCAAGCCCCCCCCTTCACATTTAGGGGAGGGGGTGCATTATGAGGGGAGGACGGCGAGGCCGACATTATCTCTCTTCACTTTCCCACGTCCTCGGCTTCCTCCCTTCATTCTCTTTCATTCTCCCTCCTGCCCCCTTCTCCTTCCTCCTGATTGAACCTTTCTTCCAAGTTAGGGAATGACACAGATCGATTTGACCACATCGATCGGTGATCACTTGTTAAGGTGGCTGGAATGGTGAGGTTCCCTCCCAAAAGCTTGGCCGAGGTCAAAGATTTGTTTATTTTTAAAGAGCTCAATCTGGCCAAGATCAGAGGCTTGTTCGTTCGTTCATTGATTTAATTTTAAGGAGTTCAGTCTTTCAGCTCCTGCCTCCATGCACAAGCTGCCCCTCAGGCCTTACCTGCCCCCAGGTTTTCTGGGAATCTGTCGTTTCCTAAAGGACGCGGCCCAAGTGTCATCTTGTGTGGAAAGTCATTCCCGCCTTAGTTGTGGGTGCTTCTCCCCACAGCCCGTCGATGCATGTATACGTGTCTGTGTGCGTGTTTTATCGACTCAGTTAAACTGTGACCTCCTGTGTGGGAAGGGACTTTTTTGTCTTGGTACCTTGTGCTCTATAGGTGCATAAGAAATGATTGCTTGAATCAAACGGAGACGTTTGTTATCTCCCCAGTGCCTCCTACTGTGCTGTGCACGCAGTAGGCTCTTTTGTATTTCAAGGATGTTATCTAAGTTGCCTTCACACTGTCTTAATGGTAGAATTACAGCTTTGTAAAAATGGAAAGGACTTTAGATCAAGGCCCGGGGGTTCTTAACTTTTTTTGTGACTCTTATCCTTTCAGTATTCTGGTGAAACTTAAGAGCTCCTTCTCAGAATGTTTTTTAATGTGTAAAACAAAATATGTAGAATTACAAAGGAAACTAATTATATTGAAATACAATTTTCAAAATTTTTTTAAAATACATTCACAGAACCCCGCGTTAAGAACTCCTGATCTAGTCCAGTTCTTTAGTTTTTTTTAATGAAATTAACATCCAGAATCATGATGATGTTAGTCTGTAACAGAGTTGGAACCAAAATCCAGGTCTAGCGTTCCACTTCCAGCATTGTCTATGTTATTTTCCTAACGATTTCTAAAAAAATGAGTCAAAAGTCACCACACAGCAGTAATGTTTTTCCTGGTGTAAGAGGGCAGGATATTTTGGGGTGCCAACAACTTTCTCACCTCGGACTTGATCAGAATTTGGAGAACTAGTCTGAAAAACTTCAAAAGCGGTCACTGTGAGCTGATTGCCACAGTAAATTGTTAAAGGATCACTTTTTGAAAATAAACTTGATGAAGCTATGATAATAATGCAACTTTTTTAGCGTGTTGTGATTATGAAGCAGTTTCACAACTTTCTTGATCCCCAGGACAATTCTGTGGAATAGGTAGTTCAGCTATCTGACCCTCATTTTTTAAATGACAAAACTAGGACTCAGGAAAGTGAAATAAGTTACCCAATTAGTAGAATAAGTATTATTTTCCTTATTTTACAGAGGAAGAAACAATGCTTCAGAAAGGTGAGGACCTTGTCTAAGGTCACATTTTTAACAAGTGGAGAGGGAGAAGGGGAGAATTAAACCAGGGTCTTCTGATTTAAAATCCAGATCTCTTTTCATGCTTTTTCAAAGCTGCATCTGAAAGCCTCCAAACTGTTAATTATGAGTGTGAAATTACTAAGGCATTGTTTGGAAGCGTATTTTTTTTGGCCAGTTAGTCATATCCAGTTCTCTGTGACCCCATTTGAGGTTTTCTTGGCAAGGATACTGAAGTGGTTTGACATTTCCTTCTCCAGCTCATGTTACAGATGAGGAAACAGGCAGTCAGGTTAAGTGACTTGCCCAGGGTCACACACCAAGTGTCTGAATTCCTGACTCTGGGGCAGGCACTGTAACCACTGCAACACTTAGAGCATAACAATTACCTGGTACAAAGTTGCCCAAACCAGTCAATCAGTAAGCATTTATGAAACACCTACATGCCAGGCACCATACTAAGTGCTGGGGATACAAAGGAAGGTAAAAAACAGTCCCTGTGTTCAGAGAGCTCGCAGTCTAATGGGGGAGGCAATAGGTAAATAACTATGTACAAACAAAATATAAACAGGATAAATTGGAAATAATCAGCAGAGGAAAGGCACTAGAATTAAGAGGGCTCAGAAAAGCCTTCCTGTACAAGTTGGGGTTTCAGCAGAGACTTGAAGCCAAGACATGGAGATGAGAAGGGAAAGCATTCTGAACATGGGGACCAGCCAATGAAAATACCCAGAGCTGTGTGATGGAGTCTCTTGAATAAAAGGAGGCCAGTATCACTGGATTAAAATAGGGGAAGGGCATAAAGTATAATAAAACTGGAGGGGTAGGGAAGACAGGTTATGAAGAGCTTCTAATGCCAACAGAAGGAAAATGTATGTTTGATCCTAGAGGTGATAGGGAGCCACTGGAGTTTATTGAGTAGAAAAGGGTGAGGGGTGCAGTATCGTCAGATCTGTACTCTAGGAAAATCACTTTGACAACTGAGTGGAGGATGGACTGGAGTGAAGAGAGAGATTTGTGACAGACCAACCAGTAGGCTGTTGCAGTAGTCCGGGCCTGAGGTAATGAGGGCCTGCTAGGGTGGTTGCAGTGTGAGAGGAGAAAAGGGGGGTGTATGGGAGAGATGTTAAAAAGGTAAAATTTACAGGCACTGACAACAGATTGGATTATGGGGTGGGGCTTTTGGGGGTGGGGGAAAATGTGAGAGGGAGTAAGCAATTGAGGATGACACCTAGGTTGAGAGCCTGAGTAATTGGGAGGATGGTAGTACACCCCTCACAATAATAGGAAAATGAGGAAGGGAGGAGGTTTGTGGGGAAAGATAAGTTCAGTTTAATCATGTTGAGTTTAAGATGACTATGGGATATTCAGTTTGAGATGTCCAGCAGGCATTTGGAGATGCTAGCCTTGAGGTTAAGAAAGAGATTGGGAGGGGTGGGATGACAGCTAGGTGATGCAATGGATAGAACACCAGCCCTGGAGTGAGGAGGACCTAAGTTCCAATTCAGCC